ATTTCTATTATTTCTATTATTTCTATTATTTCTATTTATGAATATTATTTATTTCTTTACCTATAGATTCCTTCCCTATTACCGACCGCTAGGTACTCTGCTGTTGTTATTTTCCTGAATACAATTCTTTGCCTACTAAGCCATACATTAATACTAGACAAACGCCAGATATGAACTCACCTTACACCCAGCCCGGCCCGATGGGCTCTCGTAGTGTTTTGGGGATATCGAAGCCGTTATGCGCGATGATCCAAATCCAAGTGAAAATTTCTTCGCAAATCGCGTGGCAGCCCACGTCCGTACCGGCAATTGCCTCGTTGTAAGTCTCAAACTGTTCGCTGAGGCAACTACGTGGCACTAATCATGGACAGTTGCGTATGAGCCTTGGGGGTGACAGCCCCGTGGGCCTTACCGCTTCCAAGTCGGCACAAGACCTACTGCTATGCAAAACACCCCCCGGAACTCTGGTCTACCATGTACAAGAGCTGAGACCGGTTTCTGTAATTGGCACTTTTACAACGGAATGGCAGCCTACAAGCCCAATACCAGGCTTCCGCAGACCGTTCACTGGAAAGCAAAGCCACCCTTTATCGATGCGGCAGATGGCAACAGACGGGACGGGATTAAAGACCGATTTGAAATGATTGGAAAATATATAGCGGACGATCTGAGCGCAGCAGAATGGGAGCGCATGAGTGCGAGAGAACCCTCCGCATGGTCATGGTTGTTGCATCACCGTTGCGTCTACCATCCGTCATCATCTATCTACTCCACAAAACACGCGGGAACTACAGAGTCATATGTAGCACTCGCAATCGTTGATGTCATCTATATCAAATCATTTTCTAATAGGTCTTCTAGGATTGGTCGTTGAATTAAAACGCGCTCCGCCATCTATCTAATAAATACCGAGGCGGTTATCCTGGTTGAACCTATACTGCAGTCTTGCGCATTCTCGTCTATACAATCATTCACAATGAAGGCGGCGCAAATTAAAGCTGAGCAGCTGAGCTCCAACACTGTCGAGGCCACGCAAGAGTCAAGACTTACAAGCGACTTTGGCACCAAGCAGTCCAATACTGACGACTGGCTTCGGGTCGCCAACGACGACAAGACCGGTCCGTCGCTGTTGGAGGATGCTTTCGGAAGAGAAAAGGTAATGCGCCCTGACATGATGCAGCGAACAACTCCAGAAAGCTGACAGCACTCCAGATTCACAGATTCGACCATGAGCGCATCCCTGAACGCGTCGTCCACGCCCGCGGCGCCGGCGCCTTTGGCACCTTCCGCCTCTTCGAGTCGGCCGAAGACGTCACCCACGCCGGCGTCTTGACCGACACGTCGAGGGAGACGCCGCTGTTTGTCCGCTTCTCGACCGTGCTCGGCAGCAGGGGCTCGGCCGACACGGTGCGCGACGTGCGCGGCTTTGCCGTCAAGATGTACACGGACGAGGGCAACTGGGACCTCGTCGGCAACAACATGCCCGTCTTCTTCATCCAGGACGCCCTCAAGTTCCCGGACCTCATCCACGCCGGCAAGCCCGAGCCCGACGGCGAGATCCCCTCGGCCCAGTCCGCCCACAACAACTTTTGGGACTTCATGTTCCTGCACTCGGAAGCCACGCACATGTTCATGTGGGCCATGTCGGACCGCGGCATCCCGCGCTCGTACCGCATGATGCAGGGCTTCGGCGTCAACACCTTTACGCTCGTCAACGCCAGCGGCAAGCGCCACTTTGTCAAGTTCCACTGGACGCCCGCGCTCGGCGTCCACTCGCTCGTCTGGGACGAGGCCCTCAAGATCTGCGGCCAGGACCCCGACTTTCACCGCAAGGACCTGATGGAGGCCATTGCCAGCGGCGCGTTCCCCAAGTGGCGCTTTGGCATCCAGACCATTGCCGAGGGCGACGAGGACCGCTTCGAGTTTGACGTGCTCGACGCCACCAAGGTCTGGCCGCAGGACCTCGTGCCGATCCGGTACATTGGCGAGATGGAGCTCAACCGCAACGTCGACGAGTACTTTACCGAGACGGAGCAGGTCGCCTTTTGCACCAGCCACGTCGTCCCGGGCATCGGCTTCTCCGACGACCCGCTCCTGCAGGGCCGCAACTTTTCCTACCAGGACACCCAGCTCACCCGCCTCGGCGTCAACTGGCAGGAGCTGCCCATCAACAAGCCCGTCTGCCCCATGATGAACTTTAACCGCGACGGCGCCATGCGCCACCGCATCTCCAAGGGCAAGTTCAACTACTGGCCCAACCGCGGCGGGGTGCAGCCGCCCGCCGCGGCCGACTCCGAGGGCGGCTACCGCGATTTCCCGCAAAACGTGGCCGGCGTCAAAGTGCGCGGCAAGAGCGCGAAATTCAAAGAGCACATCTCCCAGGCCCAGCTGTTTTACAACTCGCTGGCCGAGATTGAGAGGAAGCACCTGCAGGCGGCCCTCGCGTTTGAGCTCGACCACTGTGATGACCCCGTCGTGTACACCCGCGTGACGAGGCGCCTCGCGGAGATTGACCCGGCGCTCGGGCAGACGGTCGCGCACATGGTCGGCGGGGCGGCGCCGCCGGCGCCGGAGCGCAAGAACCACGGCAACAAGGCGTCTGGGCTGAGCCAGCTCGAGTACGTGCCCGCAAAGGTGACGATTGAGTCGCGCAAAGTGGCCATCCTCATCGCCGACGGCTACGACGGCGCCGCCTTTGCCGCGATGCTCGGGGCGCTCAAGGCTGCCAAGGCCGTGCCCGTCATCATCGGCCCGCGGCGCGCGGCCATCTTCGCGGCCGGCGAGGACCACAGCTCGAGCGCGGGCGTCGTGCCGGACCACCATTTGGAGGGCCAGCGCAGCACGCTCTTTGACGCGCTGTTCGTGCCCGGCGGGGCCAACGCCATCACGCAGCTGGCGAGCACGGGGCGCGCGGTGCAGTACGTGCGCGAGGCGTTTGGGCACCTCAAGACGGTGGCGGCCACGGGCGAGGGCGTCCGCCTGCTGCACAAGGCGATCCAGCTCGACCAGGTCACGCTGTCGGCCGGCGCAGAGGCCGTGTCGAGCTACGGCGTCGTCTCGCTGGAGAGGCCCGGGCCGGACGGGCTCGGCGAGGTGCTCCAGGCGGCCAAGAATGCGACGCGGTTCTTGGACCAGTTTGTGTATGCCGTCAGCCAGCACCGATGCTGGGAGCGGGAGCTGGATGGGCTGGTTGATCTTGTTGCGTATTAAGGAGGGTGTTGGGATGGGATAGAGCAATGTATAGTACACGTAATGATATGCTTTAGTGACGAGAATTTGAACTCATTTGCGCTTTGTTGACGGTATCAAAACTTGTTGTAATGACGGGCTGCTTCGCTTTTCCACTTGCTAATGAATAACACCATCGCGATGAAGCGTTGGATTCAGTCCAGAGACTTTCCCCCAGGCTTGTCCAGTCTTCATCAGTAGTAGTTCAGTGTTAATGAAAAGGATGTTGATATGAAATCTACCTTACCTTTCCCCCTCGCGCCCTCCTTCCTCTGGACTCTTGTCGACATTCCACAACGAATCACTTTCCAAAACAGTATTAGTAAGTCTCGAATTCGATTCATTATATACAAGGCTCATGTTCCAAGATACAAAAGAAAAGAAAGGAGAAAAAAGTCCAAGCCACATCGATTAAGACGACAAGGAAGCTACCGTGTCGTGAAGAAAAGACTCGCCGCAAAACGCCGATTTTCCAAAGCAAACAGCAGACTTATCAGAACCTATCCTCACTGCTTCCATTTTCCATCCCATTTGCATAAAGAAGATAGCCGTCCGCCAGCAGGACCTAGAAAGAAAAGTGTAGAGGACAAAACGGAAAATGGACGACAGTCCAGGTATCATTCAAGACAACCATACAACATCATCGTGTTCCCCATTCAACAAAATATCAACATGATGAAAAAAAAAAGTCCATCCATAGGGTGTGCAGGAACAAAGTACATGAAGAAGTGATCCATTAGGATCGGCGCGATTCGTCTGAATCGGACAAGTGCCAGGCGCGTGGCGGGCGCCTAGTGCTGACATTTTGACGTCAGATTTCTGGACTGGTAGCCAGTTCCGACTATTTTGTTCCCACGTGTTCGGGGCAATAGACTCAATCATCCCTTGAGTCGTGGTTTCTCCTCTCTTAGTTTTCGCCTCGAGCTGAGTCAGCATTCAACCCATCTTGACGTCGGCGCTGGTAGACTCGGAGGCCACTGCCAGAGCAACCTTCTCATCAAGAAGCATGCCGTCTTCCTCGGACTCGCGCTTCTTGCCCATGCGCTCGCACCACTCTTCGGCGCTGACAATGGTCCCGTCAAGGACGCCAGTAATCTGTGTCACCATGTCCAGGCCTTCTTTGGCAAGGACGAGTACCTTTTGCGCGCCATCACGGAGGGCGGGACTGTTGTCCTTGGCGGGGTCGGGGTTGGCGTTGGGATTCTCGTTCATGGTAGCGAGGCGGAATCGCTGAGGTAGACTGGTGAGGTGGCGGCGGACAAGAATCCTCGCATTCTCGGGGAGAGCACCGCCGGCATACTTGGAGACGGTGACGACAACTTCCTGCAGTGTCTTGAGGATATCCGTCTTGATAACCTGGATGCGGTTGGCGATTTCGGTGCGCGCCTCCTCGGGTGTCTTGGTACCGCTACCACCCTCTGTTCCCTCCATGGTGTGGTCCTTGTCCTGGCCATTGCTCTCTGCGAGTCTGGTCTGGGTGTTGCAGGCGCTCTCGTACTCCTCAAGAGCATCTTTGAGGGAGCCAATGGCGTTGTCCATACGGCCGTTGGTCCATCGTAGCCATTTGAGACAGTACTTGAGGCTCTTGAGGCTCTCGGAGCTCATGGCGACGCTAAGACCAGAGGTGGACATGAACAGGCGCGTCTGCCAGGCGGCCTGGTTCTGAGCATTGGCCGGAGGACCAGCCGTCTCACTGTAGGCAGGGGAGCGCAGCTCGTCGTAAGCGGGCAGGGTATCAATGGTGCTAACGGAAGAGCGACGAGCGCTCTTGGGAGTGGGAGGGGAGGTGTCGTCATGGCCGTTGCCATCTTCTGCGTCTTGACCACCGCGTTCACCAACCTTGCGGCGCTTCTTGGAATTACTGGCCGACTCGGGTTCCGAGGTGGGGGCAGCATGTCGACGGCCGCCGAGGAACCAGCGGACACCACCTTCGACACCAGTCCTTCTGGCAGTTCGGTTGACCGTTTTTGCGAGAGGGGTGAGGTAGCCTTCGACGTATTCGGCGCCTGACTTGAAGCGCGGGGAGTAGTTTTTGGTGCTGTGGTAGTTGGATACGGTGGAGGCAATGAAGGGGTGGACGGTGGTGAGAAGCTGGAGGAGTGGCTCGGGTCGAGGGGGTCGTGAGGAACTGGCAGCCGAGGAAGAGGGCGTGGAAAGCTGCATGCTCTGTGGGGGCGGGCTCATGGTACCAGAGGCATCAGGAGGGGAGGAGACGAAATCTAGAACTATGTGTCAGCCAGGTTTGGGCAGCAGAGGAGGCGGAAGAGGAAGAGGGCAGTGGGCAGTGGGCGTACCGGCTCTGAGGTCGCCAAGGGCTTCGGCGGCCAGGCGCACGTCGGGATCGTCGAGGGTGACACTGGTTGGAGTTCCTTCCTTTTGATGATCGGGGGAAGCGTCGCTGGTGACGCTGTTGTTGCCGTCAAAATCGCCGTTGACAGGACTCTCGGCGCGCGAGGGTTGGGGAGGGGGTTGTCGATAGGTCATGGTGTTGGCCTGGGGGGTCCAATTGCTGGGGGCCATGGCGGAGTGATCGAGGGACATGTCGTGTCGACGATGCTGGGGGACGGCGATGGAGCTGAGGGAGGGCAGCGTCCTGCTGTTGTCATGGTTCGCCAGCGGTGGCAGCTTGGCCGAGTAGTCTGGTGCTCGATGCAGCGGCTGGCTGTCCATGGTGGAAGCGGGTGCAGACGCAGATGCGGCTGCGAGATAGGTATAATCGGGGGGCGGCAGATTTAAAGAAGTCGATGGATGGGGAGGGCGAAATGGGGGAGGATGACGTTGTGCAGGAGTGTGGTGGTGATTATGGTGGTGGAGGCCGTGAGCGTAGGGGGGTGAGTGTTGGTGTAGGCGGGCGCAGGCGCGGAGGTGGTGGTGGTGGCGGTGGAAGACGGGGAGCGGACAGCGGCTGTAGAGGTCAATTTGTTGGCAGAGGCAGCAGTAGCAGAAGCAGTAGCACTGCCAGCGATAGTGTGGTTGCCTCCAACAATGCTAATGCTCGCGGTGGCGAGCATGTGATTGTGTTCCATTGGGCGGACCGGCTAACAATGAGGCTAATAGGGTTGGAGGCTAACTGCATCAGCCTGACATGTGCGATACGTTGAGCTGAGCGACAGAAGTCCCAGGCCCGCCACGGAGAACACCAGGAAGAGCGACGAATTGAAACTCGGCTGCAAGATGAGCAACTGTAACTTGGGGAGGGGAGGTTTCAAGCCAGTATTGAAGGCGAAAAAAAAAAAAATCGAAAGGAAGAGAAAGTGGAAGCGGGGGGGCAGAGGCGGGAAGGAGAAGAACAAAAGGAACAAAAGACCAAAGCACCAGGAGCCAATCGTTCAGCCGGGGTATGTGCGTCGAGGAGTACCCCAGGTCTACGACCGTCTATCGCTTTAATTACTGGTCAATAAAGGAACAGAAACTGAGGGTCACGATGCAGCGGGAAAAGAGCAGAAACTTGGGGCTGAGACGTGCTGAAAAGGTGCTGAAGGACGGGTGCCTAGGTACTCCCTTGTTTAACAGGTAGTACATACAGGTAAGTACTAAGTACTAGGGTAGGGTACTGAAGTAACTAGGGGTGCCCCGGTCTGAGAGTCTGGGGAGGCAGGGCCGTGCAGAGGCAGCCTCGATTGTGACCTATTATCTATTATGCAGCTTGTTTGATGACTAGGTTGTCAAGTTAGTTAGCTTCCTTGCTTCCTACATAGGAAATCATGGTCATTGTGATGCGTAGCATGTACTACCAGCAACTTGTTACTGTCTTGTGATGGCCTGTGAAAGAGGTCGTGTCACGAGAGTGCATATTTGTTGGGGCGGACCACAACGACCCGAACAGTGCGTGCAACAGAAACACCACGGGTAAAAACGACGATTCAGATAAAGGATCGTCGCTTGGCTCACGGGACCGGAGCCTTTTCTGCCATGAGAGCCTTCCAATGGCCCTGGTTCCGTGGCAATTGGGCAATTGACCGAATGCCATTCCTCTAACCACTAAAGGTGCAGGTGGTTGGTTGGCTGGGGTCGGCGGGCGGGTCGGCGTCACAAGCCCCGAGCTAATCTACTCCGTTAGTAATACAGAGTAAAATAAACTGCAAACACGCGCTCACCTTGACAACTTGTTACAGCTTTTCGCCCGTGCGAGATCGGGATGCCGTTGTTCCGTTGCCGCCAAATGATGCCCTGAAATACACATGACATGCTCATCTCGAACCAAGGAAGAAAACATCACATCTCACTGCAAGCTGGTCGGCATCTGTGTCAGTCCTTTACAAATACTTGCACCTGCAAAAGCACATGCCTGCCATCACAGGCTTTTGCAACCCAGGCAAGGAAAGGGTGCGGGGGAAAGCCAACAGCGGGGATGCTAGCGCACAAGCCGTGCGGGTGCCGGCTATGAAACAGAACGGGAAAAAAGCAAAGAGGAATTAGAGAACCGCGGAGAAGTACATAATAAATGCAAGTGTTTATAACTAGTTGATAGCCTATGTGGCAGGCATTGTTGAGCCCCATGCATGAACTGAGCTGATCAAGCTGCTGATTCAAGCAACATGGCCAACGACCCAAAGTCAAACGACAACTCCAACACTGTCTACATTGGCAGCTGACAGACACAGAACAGGCCACTCCAGCGTATCCCTACCTATTAAGCACTGAATATTTTTTCCTTTTTGAACTTTTCTGCTCAACTTCTTCGTTTCTGCCACGCACCAACACCTCAACTCAACCTGCTGTCAATTTCGTCTGGTGTTGGCAAACGGCCAGTTTTGCCATCTCCAAGTCGTTCACGTCGGCGAGGGGGAGTGGATCCCTCCACCTGGCCCTTGCGTAGCGAATTGCATGTGACGCCGCGCTTTTTTCCCCTCTACAAAAAAGCCGCCTTGTTGTGGGTCTTCGCTGCAGACTTTCCACCAGCGGAATTCCTTCGCCGGCGCTACTTTTAGTCCCCTGATTACGCTCCAATGCCCAGATTTTACGCCGGCCATCGTGGGTAAGGTTACCTACGGTTTCTGCTGCTCAAACACGTCTCATGAGGCTCTAATACTGGTGAGAAGGCCAACACGATAGCCAGTTAGAGGGAGGCTTCAACTCGTATTCTCGCCCAACCGGTTTCGCATCCCAGATATTCTCCTCTCGGTCGCGTCATCTTGGCGCTATCAGCTTTCCTATCAGTGACATCGCTAATTTACTGATAAGCGCAGTCCCCTCATCCCGCTTCATCCCTATCGCCACTTGTAATAACAACGGAGTCGCTCTTGTCCGCACATCACGCAGGCTCCCCCATGGCTACTGCTTGTCCTTGTTGCCGAGCGGGGAGTGGCGGTACAAATCAACAGTCCCTGCAGCCGCCATCACATGGTGCGGCCACCCCGGTGCTGACACACCATTCGGCCATGTCCAAACTGTTGAGATGCAGCGACGCCAGGTACAAACGAGTCCCACCACTCGCTCGGCCAAACATTCCCCCAGACCGCGCCACAGCTGGCGGCTACATTGATTCGCTGCACTCTGAAGATTTGGCGTTTGCCCAACGAGAGCCACGCTACATCTCGCAGGTTTCTTCAGCCAACCACCTTTTACGTGCATTAGACGGGCATTTAATAGTTAAACGTAGATGACCGCTGAGATTGCAACCGTGCCCATCTTGTCCAGCCATTGCGTAATATCCGGCGTCAATGTACAAGAAAAGAAAAAGAAAAGTAGAAAAAAAAAAATGTCCGGTCTCTCTGACACCGCCCAAGCAACATGGTAAAATACTCGGGCAGTTCTTATGAAACCACATGGATCCCTCTCCGCACCACGAAATCGCGACTTCATCCACGGCTCGGAACGCTAACAAGGCAGAATGCCCGTCAACACCAAGCTAGGCGATGAGCTGCACTGTCTAGAGGGTGCGTTGAGAGGAAGAAGAAATCTTCAAATGCACCCGCCCGCGCCACAAGTTTTGTTGCCAACTACGACCCGCTCTCTATCGTGGCCCTGCACGTGACCTAATCGCCAATCAGGTCCCCGCGGTTTTGCCGTCCGGTGATGCCACTATTACCTCCTACTTGGCCTAACTGGTGGCAGGCACACACACACAGCTCGGCGCCGTGCTGTAGTGTAGCTACATGTACATGCCAAATTTCAACTTCATCCCACGCGCCCATTCTCATCACCCTGCCAAGCGACCTTCGGCGGGCCTCTTGTCCCCTGCTGTGCCAGCCACGGTAGTGCTGCCGTTCTACGATTCTGCATGAAGCCAGCTTTCTTTTAATTGTTCCCGATTCCGCGCGGCTTGTCGTGTACACCGCAGGCAGCTCTCTCCCTCCCCGCTGCCCCTCGATCCCTCCCATCCACATACGCCGTCGACACATCGCCACACGCCCGTCACCATGGCGTCGGCGCTCTTCTTCCTCGACCTCAAGGGCAAGGTACGCGCGCTTCTCTGCCGCATTGGCCTGCGCTTTTTGCCCTGCTAACCACGATGCTCCCGCCTGCTTCTAGACCCTGCTTGCCCGCAACTACCGCGGTGACCTTCCCATGTCGGCCGTGGAACAGTTTCCCATGCTGCTCTCCGAGGCCGAAGAAGAATCCTCCGCCGTGCCGCCCTGCTTCTCCCACGAGGGCATCAACTACCTCTACATCCGTCACAACAACCTCTACCTGCTCGCGCTGACCAAGCGCAACACCAACGCCGCCGAAATCATCCTCTTCCTGCACAAGGTCGTCGAGGTCTTTACCGAGTACTTCAAGGCCCTCGAGGAGGAGTCCATTCGCGACAACTTTGTCATCATCTACGAGTTGCTCGACGAGATGATGGACTTTGGTTACCCGCAGACGACCGAGTCCAAGATCTTGCAGGAGTATATTACCCAGGAGTCCCACAAGCTCGAGATCCAGGCCCGCCCGCCCATTGCCGTCACCAACGCTGTCTCCTGGCGCTCCGAGGGCATCCGCTACCGCAAGAACGAGGTCTTCCTCGACGTTGTCGAGAGCCTCAACCTGCTCATCGGCGCCAACGGCAACGTTCTCCGTAGCGAGATCCTCGGAGCCATCAAGATGAAGTGCTACCTCTCCGGCATGCCCGAGCTGCGCCTCGGCCTCAACGACAAGGTCATGTTTGAGACGACGGGCCGCACCACCCGCGGCAAGGCCATTGAAATGGAGGACGTCAAGTTTCACCAGTGCGTCCGCCTCGCACGCTTCGAAAACGACCGCACCATTTCCTTTATCCCCCCCGACGGCGAGTTTGAGCTCATGTCCTACCGCCTCAACACCCACGTCAAGCCCCTCATCTGGGTCGAGTGCGCCATCGAGTCCCACTCAGGCTCCCGCATCGAGTACATGCTCAAGGCCCGCGCTCAGTTCAAGCGCCGTAGCACCGCCAACAATGTCGAAATCATTGTCCCCGTTCCCGACGACGCAGACTCCCCGCGCTTCCGCACCAACATTGGCTCCGTCCACTACGCCCCCGAGCAAAGCGCCATCATCTGGAAGATTAAGCAGTTTGGTGGCAACAAGGAGTTTCTCATGCGCGCCGAGCTCGGCCTCCCCAGCGTTCGCGGCGACGACGAGACGGGTGGCGGCATGACGGGCGGCTTTGGCGGCAGTATGGGCGGTGTCGGTGGCAAGGGCGCTAAGCGCCCTATCCAGGTCAAGTTTGAGATTCCCTACTTTACGACAAGTGGTATCCAGGTCCGCTATCTCAAGATTACAGAACCAAAGGTGAGCACATTTCAAGGATGCTAGAAACTACTCGGTTGCTAATAGTCACAGCTACAATACCCCTCGCTGCCTTGGGTTCGATATATTACACAGTCTGGCGACATTGCCGTGCGACTACCAGACGCCATCTAACATGGTCCCTCACATATACAATAAACAAATGCGTTTTTCAATCATGGCTTTAAAAGTCTAGAAGCATAGTACGGGACACTGCGTAGGGTCGGGTCAAGCCCGAAACATGGATAGACTGGGCATTCATGATGATGCAATGATTGTTCATTAAAAAAAAATGTATATATGCTTTTTTGTAATCCAAGGGTATAAGTTGCCTCGTTGTGTCTTGTCTCAAGATGCCGTGCGGGACGGCCTCTGGTACCGTGTCTTTCGGCCCAAAACGCTGTTTGTCCTCTGTTGAGAGAGGGATGCGATATACTTGCTTTTTTTGCAACCCGAAAACAAATCCAAAAAAAAAAACACCAAAAAAACATTGTCGTTTCTTTTTATCATTATGCCATAGCCGTATAGTCGCGCGATTTTGTTCCCATTTACTCGAGCCGAGCTCTCTTGACCGTGCTGCTCGCGCCGCCGTGTTGCTGTTGCAGCGGCCCCGACGATTCCAAAAACGCCCTGGCTTCGCGCAGGAGCCTCTTTTCGCCGACGCGCACGATCAGCGCCATGCGTTCCCGGTCGCCCATGGCGGCTGTCGCCAGAAGCTGCTCGTCCTGGGCCAGCGTCGTCGGGTACTGGGCCTCGAGCGCGGCCAGCGCGCGCGCGGCAATGGCCGCCTGCAGCTCCTCCCGCTTGCGCTTGTCCGGGACGAGCGCGGGGTCGACGGCGCGCACCGCCCGCAGAAACTCGGTCAGCTGCTCCTGGAGGTCCCCCGGGAGGCCGGTGAACTGCGCCGGTGCGGCGTCGGGGAAGAGGCCCTCGGCCGTGACTTCGGGACAGTCGCGCTCGAGCACAAAGCTGTCTTCCATTTCGTCCTCGTCAAGATGGCCGCGCTGATTTTTTCCCCAAGTTGTTAGTACAAGAGAGGGAAGCAGGCGAAGAAGGGGGGGGGAGAGGACGGACTACTTTGGCCCAGGCTTCTTGGGGCAGGTTCAGCTGGGACACGGCGGCGGCTTCGATGAGCTCCCAGGGAATCTCGACCACGTCGTAGCGCGCGTGGCGCTCGGTCACGTAGCCGTAGCGGCGCAGCAACTCCGAGTTGGGGTGCGGGCCGTAGTAGTTGAGAATCTCCTCGCCGGCGCGGATGGGGCGGAGGGCGGTGACTGTGAGGTCGTCGTCGCCATGGTTGACGTGTACCTGCTCCCAACATTAGCATTTACCCCCCAAGCATACAGAGCGCATGAAACAAGAGATTGCGCAACGCACGTTGAATTCTGCATCCGCATTCAGGATATCGGCCATGGGCACCATGCCCATCAGGGCCTTGCCATCACGGTCCTCGACCCACCCGTCCTCGCCGTCCTCGTCCTCATCCTCCTCCTTGTCCAGGTCAAACGCGTACGCCATGATGGTGCTGCCCATACGGTGCGCCAGCGCCACAATCTGCTCGTCGCTCAGCCGCTCGCTGCCGGCAAAGACGTGGGCGTGCGCGCGCACGGCGGGCAGCAGGATGCCGCGAAACATGTTGTCGGCGCTCTCGCGGCCGACCTTTGCGACGGCCGGGCTCGCCTGCAGCGCGCCCAGCTCCGCGGGGGACCAGAACATGGGCGTGGCAAAGGCGGCGGGCAGCACGTCGAGGTAGGGCCGCCAGCGGCAGGCTGCGCCGGTGGCGTCGGCGTCGCGCTGCAGGTGCTCGTACAGGAGCACGAGGATGAGCGCGCTCCAGGCGTCGAGCGGCGGCGGGGCGTCGTCGTCGTCGGCGGTGCCGCCGCCCTCCGAGGCCGCCGCCGCGAAGAGCGACGGCAGCTGCGCGCGCAGCGCCGACGTCTCCACGCTCAGGATGGACGCGCGCGGGATGGTGAAGAGCACCGTCTCGGCGGGGATATCGCGCAGAGCGACTGGTGAGGGAAGTTGTTAGCGACGGCTAGACAAGGGAGAAAGGGAAGGGGAAGGGGGGGGAGGTTACTGATGCCGCGACCGGCGTTGCGGCTACGCAGGTCCTGGATCGCTATCGCATCGGAAAAGGTGGCGCCGGGAAGTTGTTTGAACCAGCTCAGGAAACGCGCCGTGAGCTCGTCGAATGAGTCTGCCATCGTGCCTGGTCCAGCAGTCACGAGCTATCACCGAAAATTTATGAGAAAATTGCCTGGTCTCGAATCACGGGGGTGAGATGAACCGGTTAGGCTTGGCTCTTATCGTGAGAAGCTTGACGGATGGTTGTTCGATCGCGGTCTAGCTAGCCTTGCAAGCGCAGAAAATTTACACAGTGCAGAGCCGCCGTTTTAATTGCATCTCAAAGACACTCAGCCGTCCACAAACAGTGCCGCCCTTGTCTCACATCAACCGAAATCACATCACTTCCGTGTGACTGTCAACCGCCAGTTCCTTTCTTGTGTTTTATTCGCGGACCACGTTGGACAAGGTGGCCCGCCGTTGCTTGTCCTTACTGTCTGCGCACTGTACACAGGGTACCGGATCGCGTCTTTTCCATTTCTGGCGGAGAGCCTTCCGATGGACCAATGAAAGCGCTGGTATTGTTCACGCAATAAGTCGCCATAGTATACGTAGGGCGGCGGGTTGATGCACGTTGCATGCATAGAATTTGGTAATGGTAGCTGCAGCACTGATGGCCTGCCCATTGGTCAATCTCTGGCGAGTATATTCCAAGCCCTGGTATTCCGTACCTTGATGTATCGCCATCGGCATACTGTGAGACGCGCGCCATAGTTATGTAATAAGCGTAGATGGACAAGGGTCCGCCGTCTGCGGCAGCGGGCGCATCCTCATGACGCCAACGTTATCTACAAATGCCGGCATCTTGGCCCCAAGTTGCTTGGTCTACACAGCCTCTTGGACTTGTTCACGAGAATGGAAAACAATACCGCGAGCCGCTGGCTTGACTCAAGTGGCGCCAACACACATTGTACGTGCATTGTAATTTGCTAGATGCGTTTTCCAATGAGTTGAAAGCGGGTGTTTAGCAAATAGATCTTAAGAAAGACCCATTAGTCCAAAACTGGGAGCATTCTAGAAGAGGCCTTCTGGAACGCCATCTACTTGCCGAGCGTGTTCAGTTGTAACCTAGTGGCGTCGGGCTTTGGATGGAGACGACGCCTTGTGGCGCGTGGCGTACCAAGGTGCTAGTTAGCATTAAAACCTGGGTCTTCGCGGTCCGGACAGTGACGATGACAGATGCACGTGGGCAGAGGCGAAGAAATTCTCGGAGGAAGATTTGGCCTTGGCATGCTGGGCAAAAAAATCGCTGTGTGACGTAATGCAAGGGCAACTCGCATGTTGTTGGCCTGTGGACTTATGGAACAAAGGAAAAACCTATTGTAACAGCAACTCGCCACACTGCCAAGACAAAGAGAAATCCCCAAGACCGCGCCGGGGGCAGAAGCGGAGAAGCGCCAAGCAGGACGGCGGCATGCCGCAGGCACAGCCTCCTTTTTACAGTGCGAAAAATCGCCAGTACCAGAATTTGCCATTGTTAAATAAATGTCTACGAATACTGATCGTGGTTGATGGGGAGCCAGCGATGGCCTTGTTGGTTTGTTGCCCTGTGTAACCCGGCAACAACTGAATTACTGAAGTAATTACTTGCGGTTGTAATAATACTTCAGCAATCTATACAAGTAGTTGGTGGACATTTCGAATTACTGATCACGACCACCCGGATGACGGGCTAGTGGATGGACGGTGGGCTAACCTTATTGTCTAACCAACGTTCTGACGTTGGAGCCCTATCGGGGTTGACTCAGATTGGCGTGGAGGAATCTCGACAACTCAAAAACCAAAAACACACTCACACAGTGCCACACAGTCTTGGCACCACTGCGTTTGTAATCTTGCCAAGACTCCCGCGTCGAGGCGTCTCCATATCCCTGTATCTCCATTTTGAACAAGGAAAGACAGTTACTGAAGGAGGAAAAAGATATCAAAATATCTTGAAGGGATGTATAAACCAGCCGTATTGGAAAGAGAGACAGCAGAACATGTCTTCTATATTCCCGAGTTGTTGCTGCCCGCCCTAAACGTGGAGTCGATCGATGGCATGACCCTGGGCCAAACTGCTCTCTCGCCACAGAATCAAGCTTATTTTTTTCGCCCAGCCAGCTGATCCAGAAATACCCACACCTGTATGGAGCAAGTCTCTTTAGAGTCTTTACAGAGTAGAGTGTGTTCAACGCCTCGCTATCATCTATTCTCCGACTTCTTAAGATGGACACCCTCCCCCCTCTCCGGTCAGATTCCTCCTCCTTCCACTTCAATCTTGTCCAAATCCATTCTTTGTCGTCCGTTTCCTTGCCCACACCAATACCATTTTGCAACGTACTTGGTTCGGCTCTTGAGACACGACCAGCATTGCTGAGTACACAGGTTGCTGTGACACGACAAACAAAACAAGAAAAAAAATAAAAAAAATCAACACTCTTTTATCTACACTTGGCTTGCTTTGCAATCGCAATCCTAGGCCATGGGTCAAGGAAAGCAGCAGGATGAACAGCAGGAGCGCCTGCAGGCCCATGTCTCCGGGCAGGCGAACAAGCCCATGTCGGCGCCGGCCCATGCCTTGGGCTACGCCGATGTCGAGAAGGAGCTCCAAGTCGACCACAAAGTTGGACTGACACCCGAGGAGGCCGAGAAACGCCTGGAGATCTACGGTCCCAACGAGTTTGGCGAGCAGCAGGGTGTCCAGCCGCTCAAGATCTTCATCGGGCAGATTGCCAACGCCCTGAGTCTGGTGAGTTTTGGGAAAAAGTGATATTGGCGAAAAGAGGAGAGAGATTGTTGTTACTTCAAAGTCGATACGAAAAGAAGGAAATCCCCGTGCTAACCACACCCCAGGTCCTGATCCTCGCCATGGTCGCCTCGTTTGCCATCAAGTCGTGGATCGAAGGCGGCGTCATCACCGCCGTCATCGCGCTCAACATTATCGTCGGCTTCCTGCAGGAGTTCAAGGCGGCGCAAACCATGGACTCGCTGCGCTCGCTTAGCTCGCCGACGGCGCAGGCCGTCCGCTCCGGCGCCAACCAGACCGTCGTCACAGCCGCCATCGTGCCCGGCGACGTCGTCGAGCTCAGGACCGGCGACACGGTGCCCGCCGACGTGCGCCTCGTCGAGGCCGTCAACTTTGAGACCAACGAGGCCCTGCTCACCGGCGAGTCGCTGCCTGTCCGCAAGGAGACGGCCGCCACGTTTGCGCCGGATACCGGGCCCGGCGACCGCCTCAACGTCGCGTACTCGTCGTCGACCGTCACCAAGGGACGCGCCGTCGGCGTCGTCTTCGCTACCGGCATGTTTACCGAGATTGGCCAGATCGCCGTGGCGCTGCGCGGCAGGACCGCCCGGCGTAGGGAGCCCAAGAAGAGGCGCGAGGACGGCTCCGCGAGCCTCCACCGCTGGGTCGAGGCCTGGGGGCTGACGTTTTCCGACGCCGTCGGCCGCTTTCTCGGAGTGAATGTCGGCACGCCCCTGCAGCGGAAGCTTTCCAAGCTGGCTCTCCTCCTTCTCGGTACCGCTATTATCTGCGCCATCATCGTGCTTGGCGCCAACAGCTTCAGCGACAGCCAAGAGGTCATCATCTACGCCGTCGCCACGGGCTTGTCTATGATTCCGGCGTCGCTCATCGTCGTGCTCACCATCACCATGGCCGCGGGCACCAAGCGCATGGTGCAGCGAAATGTCATTGTCCGCAACCTCAAGTCCCTCGAGGCCCTGGGCGCGGTTTCTAGTAAGCGTATCATCACTCCCCCGTTCGAGGCCAAAGACTTAACTTGCCACCAGATATATGTTCGGACAAGACTGGAACCCTCACGCAGGGTAACATGATTGTCAAGAAGGCCTGGATCCCCGGCCGAGGCACCTTCTCGGTCGGCACGACCAGCGAGCCGTTCAACCCCACGGCCGGCACGGTCAGCCTGAAGCCCGAGCAGCCCAAAGATATTAACTTTGGCACTGATGACTCTGAAGGTAACGCTGTCAATACTGCTGCCCTTCCCGCCCAAGATGCGACTCTCCGTGAATACCTCAACGTGGCTTCCCTCGCCAACCTGGCCGCTGTGCAGCAGGTCGACGGCGAGTGGCAGGTGCGCGGTGACCCTACCGAGATCGCCATGCAGGTTTTTGCCTCGCGCTTTGACTGGAACCGACTCCGTCTTGCCCACGACGGCGACGAGGCCGAGTGGTCCGAGGTGGCCGAGTTTCCGTTTGACTCGGACGTGAAGAAGATGTCGGTCATCATGGCGCACAAGCCGTCGGGCACGCAGCACCTCTTCACCAAGGGCGCCGTCGAGCGTGTGCTCGTCTCGTGCGCGCAGTACGTCGACAGCAGCGACGAGGTGCAAGTGCTCACCGACGACGTCCGGGACGACACGCTGCGCAACATGGAAGCTCTCGCGCGTCTCGGCCTCCGCGTGCTCGCGCTCGCAAGCCGCACCGGCATCCCGCACGTCAAGCACAACGAAGCCGAGCTCGCGCGCGGCGACTTTGAGCGGGACCTCGTCTTCCGCGGCCTCGTCGGGCTCTACGACCCGCCCCGGCCCGAGTCGGCGCCGTCGGTCCGCAAGTGCCACGAGGCGGGCATCAGCGTGCACATGCTGACGGGCGACCACCCAGCGACGGCGCGCGCCATTGCGCTCGAGGTCGGCATCCTGCCGGCGCGCATGTCGCAGGTGGCGGCGGACGTGGCGCGCACCATGGTCATGGCGGCGTCCGACTTTGACAAGCTCACTGATGAAGAGATTGACAAGCTCCCCATCCTGCCGCTCGTCGTGGCGCGCTGCGCGCCGCAGACAAAGGTGCGCATGATTGAGGCGCTGCACCGACGCCGGGCGTTTGTGGCCATGACGGGTGACGGCGTCAACGACTCGCCCTCGCTGAAGCGCGCCGATGTCGGCATCGCCATGGGCCGGGCCGGTTCCGACGTGGCCAAGGAGGCGTCCGACATTGTGCTGACGGACGACAACTTTGCGTCGATCCTCAACGCCGTCGAGGAGGGGCGCCGCATGTTTGACAATATCCAAAAGTTCATCCTGCACGTCCTGGCCGAGAACATTGCGCAGGCGTGCACGCTCCTCATCGGGCTCGCGTTCAAGGACTCGCGCGGCATCTCTGTGTTCCCGCTCGCGCCGGTGCAGATTCTCTGGATCATCATGGTGACCTCTGGCATGCCCGACATGGGTCTCGGCTTCGAGACGGCGGCGCCCGACATCATGCAGCGGCCCCCCCAGAACCTGAAGCAGGGCGTCTTCGCGCCGGAGCTGCTCCTCGACATGGCCGTCTACGGGCTCTGGATGGCAGCGCTCTGTATCTGCTCCTTCATCGTGGTGCTGTACGGCTTCGGGCGCGGCGCGGCGGACCTGGGCGACGACTGCAACAACACGTACCACGAGAGCTGCCACGTCGTGTTCCGCGCGCGCGCGACGACGTTTGCCTGTCTGACGTGGTTTGCCCTCTTCCTCGCGTGGGAAATGGTCAACCTGCGGCGCAGCTTCTTCCGCATGCAGCCCAAGAGCGGGCGGCCCTACACGCAGTGGATGCGCGATGTCTGGCGCAACCAGTTTCTGTTCTGGTCCGTCGTGGGCGGCTTCGTCACCATGTTTCCCATCATCTACATTCCCGTCATCAACACGGTCGTCTTCAAGCACGCGCCCATTTCCTGGGAGTGGGCCGTCGTCTTTGTCGAGGCCGGCCTCTTCTTCCTCGGCATCGAGGCGTGGAAGTGGGCGAAGCGCGTCTACTTTCGCCGCCAGGCGCGCAGGCAGACGACGGACCGCGTGGGCGATTTGGAGGAGCGCGTCTTTGGACACTACTTCCGCACCAACACACAGAGCTCGGCCAGCGGCGACGAGGCGCTGGTTGAAAAGACGCAGAACAGCGCCGGAACGCAATAACACGAGCCCCCCCCCCCCCCAGCCTTTCATCTCATGAGAGTGGAAGTTGCCAATTTTCTTTGGCCGTGCGGCTAAAAGAAACGTAGATGTTCTGTGTTGTTATTGTTCGCGAAAATTGCCACGTTTGATTTTTTTTCCTATTGTTTTGATTTCGCAGCTCTTTGCCGTTCTATGGCGGCGGAGTCCCGTTTCAGCCTTTGATCAATGCTTACGCTCATGCGTAGCTTTGAGAAAAAGGACAAAAAATGGCGTGTGCCAGAAGCAAGAGGTCATTTGCACCGACGTTTCTGTAGAGCTCTGCATTGGTGAGCTGTAAGCTGAGATAGAGTAGAGTAGATGCAAGACGTCGTTGTTCAGCGATGAGCCGCGTAGAATATATGGCTATTTATCAAACTATCTTGGAGCGGTTGTGACTTTTTGATTCGACGTTAGCTTGACTAAATTATAAATCTGTCAGCCTTATTTCGGTACGTAGCAGCCTACTAGGCTGCAACATGGGCAAGGCAATCGCCTGACTCACAGCCACTTTGGGCTGTCCCAGAAACTGCTGCCTGTTCAATATTGATAAAAGCCACGCTTCAAGGCGCGGGCAGACAACCTTTGCTGCTTCCTGAACCTGAACGACTCTTCTCTATGCGTCGCTTGATAGCCACCGCCCGCGGGCAAACCGGCAACACTCACCCTACACGAACCATGACCACAACAACAGCGCCGCCCGTCCCGCAGCGCACCCAGTACATCTCCCAGGCCGTCGACATTCCCGCCTCTTTTCTGCGGACGCCGCCCTCGGCGCCCGTCAGCTACCAGCACATCTCGTTTGCCGACTCGCCGCTGCCCGAGTACGACGGCTGCCTGGCCGTGGTGCTGGACAATGTGCTGGCGCCGCACGAGTGCGCCCGGCTGCTGCGGCTGGCCGAGGCGTCGGTGCCGGATGCCGACGGCGGGTCGCCGTGGCGCCCGGCGCTGGTCAACATGGGCGGCGGCTTCGAGGCGCGCGTCGCGGACTACAGGAACAGCCACCGCATCATCTGGGACTGCCAGACGGTCGTGGACAGGCTGTGGGAAAGGTGCTTGCTGGCGCGCCCAGAGGCCGGGGGAGGTGAGTCGATGGCGGACATGCTGGCGAGGCCGCCCGCGGATACGAGGGTCAAGGGCGGCAAGTGGGTGTTTGAGCGGCTGAATGAGCGGATGCGGTTTCTCAAGTACACCGAGGGCCAGTTCTTTAAGCGTACGTGGGCAAGTTGCCGCGTCTTCTCCTCTGGCCTTGCGTATGCTAATGAATGCGAAAACAGCGCACTGCGATGGTGCCTTCTCCTACGCCGCGGACAGCACCACCTTTGAGACACACTACACGCTCCATCTGTACCTGAATGACTCGGCCGAGACCTCTGCCGACGGCGACGGGTGCGTCGGCGGCGCGACGGCGTTTCTCTCGCACGACCTGAAGCGCCGGGTCGACGTCGATCCCAAGGCGGGCCGCGTGCTGGTCTTTCAGCATCGGAGGCTGCTGCATCAGGGCGCCGAGGTGCAAGCCGGGACAAAGTATACGATGCGGACCGACGTTCTGTATCGTTGGGTGCGCGAGTAGACACTTGCGCGCGTGCATTTGATGAGTCGATTGAAGTGTACGAAGCGAGGCGAGGAGGCACATGAAGAACACGAGCAGCAAAGCTGCTTTATCAGGTTTGCTGCGATTGATATGATGATTAAGCCAAGGTACAGTACAGACATAGTGGTGATGAGGGGGCAGGAAGTGCTGTGGAGGCACGTGGTCGCGACCCAACTTCGTGTCTAAGTTTTAGTTATAAACTTCGTATTTACAAAATTCTGCCTTTGACTGTCTCTTGTTAGAAGTGTGAACGGAGGAGCACGGGCTGATTCCCAATAACCACAATCACCATCATTCGTTCGGGCCCCTGTTCCTGGTTGGAGACATCTGGCGAGCTCTTTCTTGTCCCCTTAGATAGCGAACAATGGCCAGCGAGTCGTCGTCGTCGGGCCATTTTGATCCTTTAATTAAAGCTTCCCCCGCGGTGGTATCGTCGGTTGGATTTCTTTGGTCAATAGTTGCTAGGCCTCGCTCGACGAGGAGCCGGATCAAGTTGATCGCACGTTTTTTGACGGCCTCGAAGAGCACGTCTCTCCAATCTTCGGGCCCAAGAACCTTGTCCAACTTGTCAAGAAGAAGCTCCAGGGCTCGCATGTCGTGTGTCAGGCTCAGCGTTCCCATGGCCAGCTTCTTGGCGCTTTCGTGACGCACCGACTGAGGCAACTCTTTTTCGTCCCTCTTGTACCTCGTGGGACTCACGCAGGCACATCCAATGTCTGCGCCCGCGGAGAGGAGGCACTTGATGATGCCGGCATGCGCAGGACCCTCCGTGGCAAGAGGGGATAGCCCCTCAATGGTACGTAAATTCACATCGGCGCCATGCTCAATGAGGAGCATCACCATATTGAGATCCGCGTTCCAAGCAGCCATGAAGAGCAGGTATGCCTCTGTGCTCCTCCGGAGGAGCTTCAGAGTAGTCTTTCGCTCTAGGAAAACTCTGGCAGCTTCAAAACATTTTCTTTCGCAGGCCTTGACGAGCATAGTATTCATGGGTTTTTGGCTCTGGTCACTGCAATCCAGAAGTAGTTCCACCGCGTGACGTGATGGAGGAACCTGTCTCTGCTCAAGAAGGATCTCAAGAGGCGTTGTTGCCCGACGAGACCATTTCCAGTCCCTCGCACAGCCATACCCCATTGGCTCCTTACCGTACCAAAAGCACTCCGACACTTGAACCCCTTTCGACAGCAGAAACTCGATAATTTCCTCAGGCTTCTCTAGTACGCAGGCGTCGTGAAGGGCTGTGCAGCCGCGTGCATACGTGTCATGGACACTGGCACCTCTTGCGACCAACATCTTGACGATTTCTAGCTTCCCTGACCTGACAGCCGCGTGTAGGGGCGTAAGACCGTCTCTCTTTTCCGTGTCAGGGACACCCGTGTACTGCTCGTCACTGGCCGCCATTGTTGCATCCGCGTTGTAGTGATGGAGAAGAAGCCGCACGCACTCCACGGCGCCTGCTAAGCAAGCGGAATGCAAGGCCGTGTGGCTCGTCTTGCTCACGGCCAATGGATCGGCGCCGGCATCGAGCAAGAGCTTGAGACACTGAAGCTGTCGCTTTTCGGAATCAACGGGCCATCTTTGATTGGTCAGGATGGGAAACCCGTGACGGTTTACCGCGTTGGGGTCTGCACCAGCAGCAAGAAGCAGCTTGATGGTTTCCACGCTACCACGCGACCAGGCTGATTGGAGAGCACCTGATGGAATTTCGCTTGGATGGAGAGCACCTGATGGATTGACCGTTGGATGAGAAGCGTTCACATCGACACCAAGCTTGATAAGCACCTCGGCTAGCTTGTAGTTGTTGTGCCACGAGGCGTGCAAAAGCATTGCGGTTGCTTCCATACCGGGAATCGTGAATGGAAATTTGTCGCGTATCAACCGGAACCCTTCGCTTTTCTGGCTCCAACAGATACTCTGTCGGATTAGCTGAACAAGAGCCTCATTATACACCTCAATCGGTCTTTCTACGTTTTCGAGCAGTAGATTCATGACCTTGATGTTGCTGTGTCGGCCTGCCCCGATGAGGGGTGTGTGTAGACCGCCATTGTCTTTAAAATGGCCGGTTGCGTCAGCGCCGTGTTCTAACAACAGCTTGACGAATTCTGCAGTCCTAGACCGATTCTTCGAACATATGATGTAGAGTAGCTTGCAGCTGTCGACGGCATCAAGAGGTGCCTTCACCCCGTCTTCAAGGAGGGAACGCGTCAATCTGAGGTGGCCTTCCGTGTTGCCTTGGCACGCACGCAATAACAAGCGAATGCTAGTAATGCGAATGGGTGCACGTTCTTTAAGCCAATCAAAAATATCATCATGGCCATAAGAGGCGGCCAGCAGGAGGCCCAAGGAATACATCAAGGGATCCATAGCTTCCAGCAGCAATCGGAAGACGGATTTCTCCTTAGCCCCATATTCTAAAGGGAGCCGCTGTACCCTGTTATATTCCCCGTCGTGGTCGTAATCATAAAGCAAAGACGGATACTTCTCCAGAAGAAGCTTAATGATTTCTATATGATCTCCAGCGGCGGCACAGTGCAGGGCATTGCGGCCTGTTCCGTCCATGCCCCGAGGGTTTGCGCCGGCGGCCAGTAAGCGTTCGACAATCGCTGCGTGACCGGCTCTCGCCGCTGCCAAAATTGCCGTATGACCGACTGACGCCGCTGCCAAACCGCCCTGAATTGTATACGACTCTGCCGCTGCCGCGGCTAATGCGGTCGCCAGCCACCTGGGAGGATGCACATGAGAATCACCAGGCTCGACGACCTGCAGAACCGCTGCGTGCTTGTCATTTCCCTTTTTGAACGGGAAAGATGCTGTGAACTGGGTGTCGACGTCTGTGCGAGCGCCAAGGGCATTCTCCAGCATCTTCTGGTTGCCATAGGCCGCAGCCCACAGCAAAGCGCGCGGCTGGAGACTCTTCGCATCATATTCGTAGAGATAAAACTTTAACGCAGCATAGGAGCGCCTTGTCAAGATGGAAAGCGAGAATATGTCTGCCACGGAAGTAAGATATCCGGCGACGTTGAATAGCATCTCGATGGGGAGGCCGCGAAACGACATGACGACTCCAGTCCGGGGCGGCGAAACCGCAAAAAAGAAGATTGAGAGGAAATAGAGAGTAAAACTGAATAGCGTAAGAATGATGGGAACAGGTTTTATGGTGTCGAAACGATAATGTAGAAACTGAGTTTGGGACTCGGCCACGCAATGTAGACGAATATCCAGGTGCTAGTGGGAGACGAGAGACTGTGCTACTAGATAACGGCATGTACGCACCGCATGTACCTAAGAGTAGAGGCTTTGTGTTTCTTGGCTTTGTATCATGGTGCCGCCGGAGCGACTTAAGTGCCCCGCGACAATGTCCCACAACGGGTAGACAAAGGCTACCTGCCAGCAGCGTATCGCCCACATTCTTACAGTCAAGGCAGATAATGACTCCTTGCTTAGTCTATGCTTGGATGAGCAGGCAGTACCGCAGAAGTTGAGTCGTTGGCCGAGGTGCTAGAGTGGTCAAGAGGCTGAAACACATTGACTTGCTCCTGGTTGAGTGAGCCCAGTTACCATGTCGGCCGAGAGTCACTTTAGCTCGTGGAAGTTGTCTGCTAGAACACGGTGTTGTAGAGTAGTTGAATTAAAGCAAAAAATTGATCATTGCATAGAAAAGCTTTCCAGTCGCACTTGAGATAAAAATACAACAGGGCCAGATGGCGGGGAGACTATGACCACAGGCGATACCCCTATGAATCCAGGATTCGGTTTACCACTGACGAATCTTACAAGACGAAAAGGCCGAGCAGCAGCAGCCACGACGCCCCAAGATAACCCGGTGCTGTGGCAGCATTGACCTGGGGAACCGGTGCCACCGTCTCGCTGTCCTTGGCTGTGGTGGGCGCCGCCGACTGCGTGGTGCACGCCGCCGCTCGACCTTGTTCCTCTTTCTCACCCCCCTTTGTCTTGCCACACTTGCCCTCGGCCTTTGCCGCGACCAGAACCACATACTGCCCGTCGACCGCGGTCAGCCCGCCCACGTGGATGACGCGGTTGCACTTGTCAAAATGCTGGCCCTTGAGCGGCTGGAAGCGGGTGGCGGCGGGAGCGTCGACGGCCCGCTTGGCCACGACGAGGTGCGCGTGCTTGGCTGCCTCGGGCCCGACGAGTTGCTGCAAAAGCGCGGGGTTCACTATCGAAGGTTAGTCTTGGTGCCGCTCTGTGAGCATCGTTATCGAGCTGAACGCACCTGGAAACGTCATGTTGACCGCAACTGCGCTCGTCGGCGCCGTCGAGTTGACCTTCCAGTAAAACGAATCTGGCAAGGAAACCACGTTAGAACGAAGCACTGATCATGTGTGTTGTGGGTAGTTATGGGCAGCTTATACTCAGTGATTTGTGCGACTCGGGCAGAGACTCAGCGGCAACTCCGAATGGAATGTCAGCGTTGAGGGTAAACGGCTTTGTCGACTGGATGCTAAAACGCAAGCCGTCGACAAACTCGGCTTCTTGGATCTTGTCGGCGCCGCCCGTCACATTGACCGTCCTCGTGACGCCCTGACCGTACTGCACAAAGATGTTGCTAGTGTCGATGGACTTGCGTCCGAGCAGCATGTACTCTCCATCCATTGAAGTCATTTTGATGATTCTTGTTTTATTTTCCGTCCTGTGCCTTTGATTAGCAGCTTATCTAGGCGTTGGAGCCACCCTGGCTAGGTTGCGGCCGACTTACACGTGCACGTTTCGCTGCGCTTCCGACACGACCCAGGACTTCTTGTCCGCAGCAAGCGTGCCAACGTAGGTGTTGGCCGGTTCGACGCCCTCCTTGGCCAGCGCCACCGGATCGTACGGGAGCTCAACCTTGGCGATGAGGTCCGTGGCGGACTCGTTGAACTTGATGACCCAGCTGTACTTGGAGAGGTTGATGAAGCCCTCGCCGGTGCTGCCCGAGACGAAGCTTCCGGAGAGTGGGGACGTGTTCTGGGTCACGACGGCGGTGCGGTTCTTGGGCGAGAACAAGTCCAGGACGAAGCCGTCGACAAAGTCTTGATCGGTTCGAACCATCTTTTTCGTGTTTGCTGTCAGCAACATGCAGCGAAACGTTGCCGCACACTTGGGCGCTTGGGTATGCACAACCAACCTTTCCCAACACTGGAATCACATCGCCGAATTTTGCTAGCTCCGGTTCCGATTGGGCAGCAACCAGCATGGGCAAGCATAGCAGGACAATGCGGCGCCAAGAGGGCGCCTTGAAGTGAGTTGCGTCAAACATTATGCACGGTTTCTGAGATTGAAGAATATCCCAGAGTTATAAGTTCTCCGTTATCGTTCCTAATACAATATATTTATACCCAGAGGACCATCATTCCCTTGGGAAAAAAATCCACGTCCTCTCAAGAAGCCCGAGTCTCGACTTGTTGAAATCGTGTCGGGCTGGTTTCGCCCAGACGCCACAGCGCCACAGTTTCAACAAAGAACTCACAGGGCTGGCGCCGTTCTTCCGCCATGACAGTATAGACCCCCAAATTCCTATATCCTTATGCATAAGACACTAGTCTATTAATAGTGGTGGGTGGTGTAGCGCTTCGGAACAACGGCACCATTGGAAACGCAATCGCGGAGCCGGTGCGGCCTACCAGCACCTAACAAGTACTAGTATACTGTATCATCGCAACTTGGCCCACCGAGCTGCATTGATGTGCGACGGGATGAGCAGGGGCTATCCTCGGTGAACGTGAACCTGGAGCAAGTCTGAGGGCTCTTGATTACATTACACGAGTGTTGATTGGTCGTTGCTGTCTGTACCCGGACGAAGCATTGCGGGTTGCCAAGAATTGGCCGATTCAATCTCAAGGCAGAAAAATAGCGTAACAACTAGATTTGGCACTCCAAGACGCCAGTTTCCATCAGTTCTTATTCTCTATGTGCGCTTGTTTAGGCCTAGCAGTCGCGCTGCCGGAACTAATAGCGGCTCTCTCCGTTCAACAGCCTCTTCAAATCACAATGCATCCCAGTATTAAGTCACTTCTCCATCTTATTCATGAGGTCCGCTCTTCAGAACCGCCCTTCTCCGTAAGGCGCAGTTCAGGATCCCGGGTGTTGCCCTTCTCCGTGTTTCATGCAAGTCAGTCCCCGTCAAACAAATAAGCCTAAAAGCTCGGTCACTAGTCACCTGGTCGCTTGCGGGGAGAACATTCTTAGAAGCCTACAAACAAATCTGCAATTACGGAGCTTAATAAATCGTCGCACTACGCAAAAAGCAAAAAGTCTATGGTGTCGGCTGATGGATGCGGCCTGGTCCGTGAGGGAACACGCACAACCACGGAGGGTGTTGGCTCAGCATACTCCCGTAGCTCCCTTGTTTCAAAAGAGAACATACGTGTGCCAAGTCAGCCCCTGCAGATTTCGCGTAGGGATTCAGAAGTCCATCATTTCTGCATCGAAGAGTAAAACAAAGTGGACAAGGTTGGCCGACGGCAATCCACCGACTGTCGTCTCACTCAGCGCAGTAACCATCTTGAAGCACAACTCACTCGATGCAACCCAACATTCACTCTCACCCATTTTCCTGTAGTTTTTTTTTCATTCTACAACCAAAACAATAGGCAAAAATGAGACGAGACAGACGAAAGGCTCCCCCACCACCGCTGCAGCTGCGCAGCTCTGCGTTGGTCGTGCCTAGTCAACGCACGAGTCCATCAACTTTGAAGCCGCAGACACCTTCGCCATCTCGGCTCAGCCCTGTACTCACATCACCGCTTCCTGTGAAGCATTCACCTTTGAGTCCGGTTTCACCTGCTCGACAAGTGCTGTCGCCTGGGACGGTAAGCGCGGCTACGACACCAACTTCAACACCAAGGCATGTTGGCCTCGCCCTTGGTTATGACATGCATTTTTACTAACATGTTCCTTATTATAGAGTCACCTCTCCTACAGTGACAGTAACTCGAACGTTGAAACCACCTACAGTTACTGCAATACCGCTTACTGTCACCGCTACACCACCTACTGTCACCGCAACACCACCCACCGTGACAACAACAGCTACACAAAAGATACCAGTCTCTTTACAGCCGAGCTTGTCGACAACCCAGAGCTCGTCGGTTGTTCCAAGCGCGTCCTCCACTACAGCGCCCGGCAGGGTGATTCCGCCCACGGCAATAGGGTTTGTCGCGGGGGTTTCTGGAGTCGCCGGCGCGCTACTGGGCGTTGGCTTATTCTTCGTCTTTTGGAAGAGGCGGCGGGCGGCGGCCGGGACGCGGCGGGATGCCGGTGATGCCAACTAGACGGGAGAGGGGACTGCGGGCGCAATGCACGTGGGAACTCACTCCTATGCCACATAGTAATGAAAATAACCTTGAAAAAAAAGGTGAATCTACAAGATACATATCAAAGTGGTGAATACAAATAAACTAGGCTATGAATAGCGTTTCAGTGCGCGAATATGCTTTTATATCGCGCCAGTGAGTAGAAAGAGCCGTGAAACAGGTGGGTAAAACCCGGAGACTTTGGAACCCGATGGCACAAAACAAGCCCCCCCCCCCTTCTATAGTTCAAGCAGGGTGTATGGCCTATCTAGGCTGTGTCAGTCAAGTCCCATGAAAAGGCATTGCGTTGCTCGATTGGTAAACATTCTCTTGAAACAGCGATAAGTGGCTGGGCCGCGCATGACTCAACGTGGCCGACACCCCTCTACACTATATGTACAATATCGCTGCCAAGAAACTTGTGCAGCTCCTCTCATCTTGGATGAGTAAATCTTTCATTCATTCGTACTCCTTTCCCGCCCAACCCCAGAAACGAAGCCATGGATGGCTACCCGGGGTCCGAGGCGGCGGCGCCAACAAGCCGTGCCGCGAAACGACTGACGTCGGTCGAGGGATGGCGCGAAGTCGGTCGCGGCGTCTTCGTCACCGCGGGCCACACCGCGTTTGTCTTTCTCCCGGATCCGGCGTACGACCGGGAGTGGCCGGTCCACAGCGACCGGCAGGCCTGGACGAGGCTGTCGCGCGCGCAGCGGCAGTCCATCAGCACCCACGGGTCCAACAGAGCCAACGAGGAGCGCGACGATCAGGTGCCGTGGGCGCCCGGTGGAGTGCTCGGGGCGAGGATTGAAGATGGCGATGAAGAAGAGCTGGTACACGAACCAGCGCAAAAGGAGCTGCCGGATGAGCCGCCCTTTCATGTGTACTCGAAACGGATCAAGTGGTATCTCGTCGTCATTATCGGCATGGCCGGGCTCTTTTCCGGCCTGTCTTCCAACATCTACCTCCCATCGCTGTCCGCCATTGCCCAGGTAGCCACTCTCTCGCCGCCAGCTTACAAGGACCGTCACATCACCGGGCAGAACTAATGTACTGATAGGATCTGCACGTCAGCTTGAGTGATGTCGGACTGACTATTACGTCGTACCTCATCGTGCAGGGCATATCGCCTCTCTTCTGGGGCTCCCTGTCCGACACCATCGGGCGCCGGCCTGTGTACCTGTACTCCTTTTCCGTGTACATTGTCTCCAACATTGTGCTGAGTATCACGCCCAACTTTCCCGTCCTTCTGGTCTTCAGAGGGCTTCAGGCAGCAGGCAGTGCCTCTACCGTCAGCATCGGTACAGTTGGACCCCCTTGCTATTTTGTGTCAAAGGCTAACCGAAACATGGCAAAAAAGGCAATGGTGTGATACAAGACATTGCGACGCCAGACGAGCGCGGCTCATTCATCAGCTTTTACCAGGCCAGTAGGTTCTCCTAGGTCCGAGAACATGTAGAATTTGGCTGATCTTTTCTTTCCTTCTTTCTCCTTTCTCTTTAGTTCGAAATTTTAGCATCGCGATCGGGCCAGTCATTGGCGGCGTGCTCGCCAACTTCCTCGGCTTTCGGTACGTGACAATCCATGGCCTCCAAGTAAACAGTGCTGACGAAAACACCCAGATCCGTCTTCGTTTTTTTGCTCATCGCCTCTTCCCTTGTTCTAGCCGTGATTGCAGCTATTCTCCCCGAGACACTACGCTCGATTGCTGGCAACGGCTCGCTGAGGCTGTCGGGAATCTATCGACCATTGCTGAGTCGGGTTGTACTGGGCAGCGAGACGGGAACGGAAGAGCCCGAAGCTGCGCGACCGCGCGCAAAAGTGAGCTGGAGAACGTTTCTGGAGCCGCTGCTTCTCCTACGCGAAAAGGACATCTTTGTCAGCTTGTTGTTTGGCGGCACCGTGTACGCTGTCTGGAGCATCGTGGTGGCCACGACGACGAGTCTCTTCAAGGATCTGTTTGGCTTAAGCGACTTGCTTCTCGGTGTCGTGTTCTTGCCCAATGGTACGTCTTTTATACGCAATTGGACAACTTAGTTGGGCTGACTCTGCAAACAGGACTGGGTACGATTGTTGGCTCTGTGATTGCGGGCAAGCTCATGACGCGTGGGTTTCTCGCGGCCGAAGCCGCATATCTTGAACGCAACCCCGACGCAAAACCGCCGTCCAAGAACAAAAAGGACCTGCCAGGCGACTTTCCCATCGAGCACGCCCGCCTGCGCCACGCGCCGTGGATGACGCTGCTGTTCATCCTCTCCACCATGGCCTACGGGTTCACCGTGCTCCTGCCATCCCAGCTGTCGGCCGTGTCCAGCCCTGGCTGGATCACGGTGCCGCTGCTGCTGCAGTTTCTCATCGCGGCCACGTCGAATGCCATCTTCGCCATCAACACGACCCTGGTCGCCGATCTGTGTCCGGGCAAGGGCGCCAGCTCCACGGCCGTCAACAACCTGATGCGCTGCGGCATGGGCGCGCTTGGCGTGGCGTTTGGCGACGTCATGCTCCGGACCTTTGGCCCGGGCGCGACGTTCCTGGGTTTGGGGATTCTCACCGCCGGAATGAGCGTTTTCCTCGTCGTCGAGATGCGTTGCGGAATGGGGTGGAGAAGAGCGCGGCGACAGAGACAAGCGTAGTGCTTGCAAGGTATGCATTGGACAAGATAGACTATAGATAGAATAAGATGATACCCAAATCTGGCTTACTTGTAAGAGGAAAGTTCTGCGCTTTTGGGGGCGCCATGTTGGAAAGTGATGAAATTGGGCATCATTAGTCCAGATCATGCATTACAGTGACAAATATGACCAGGGGAGACAATTATCCTAGCGTAAGTACGAGTGCGATATTCAGCAGCAGAATATCGCGAAATTGGATGTCATCTTGATCTCTTCGGAGAATTGTTCTGAATTTGACTGTCAAGTCCAACCCTCGGCCAGGCTCACTTCCAAGCAATACCATGCATGGTTCATTCTCCAGGCATATAAAGATGCAGGATCAGATCCAGCTTCTATGACTCACCATGACCGTCTCCAAAACATTCGTCACTAAAAATAGAACACCAGGGCAGGCTTTTTAGCCCACGGGCGAGGGCGGGCACTGAGTGACACAAGATACCTACGCGCGTGAGGCCTGTTTTTTGATAGGGCACTAGACACGTTTTCCGTTTAACATGTAATTTTCCCCTGTCACAGCGCTGTCAGGCGTCTAACACGGCTTCTAAAAATATATATAAGATCTTTAACACGTAGTAGTAGCCTAACAGCGTTAGAACAGTGGAAAATTACATGTCAGGTAAGAGACCTGTCTAGTAGTACCCTGTTAAAAAACAGGCCTCACTCGCGTATATACTTATTATCTAGGTACCTAAAAGTAAGGTTGGGCGGCCTCGCCTCGCCCGGCCCCGGCTAACCGACCGTCCCCCAATAGTTCAATCAATGTTGGTGAGCTTTTGTCAAGATACAAAACCAGCTTCGGAAATCTTGGTCAAAGGAAGAATGCCCCCTTCTTAAATTCCAAGGGATCAAGCGCCGACATGGAACAAACACATTGGCCAGATTCTACGCTCGTGAATCAGTTGGCCGGAATTGAAACCCCTGCAGGCCGCGCAGCCTGACTGTACGCAGGTAGGTCAGCCGTACGCAGGCAGCGAGGGGTAAACGAGGGAGGGGTAAGAACATGGCTAGCAAATCATAATGCACCGTTGACGCTGAGGCGTACATTCGTGGTGTCGTCTGTATCACGCTCCATGCCAACGAGCTCGTGCCAGTATTCCCAACTGAACACGGTCGGTGCTATTTCAAACCTTCTCTGCTACTTGATTGTGTCGACTGGCAGCTTGCGCATACTAGTCCTTCATTCCCTCCGACCAGCTTCGCCGCCTTGATCAGAAATGGACGAAACGATTGCCTACGACCCCAATGCCTACGACCCCAATGTTGTTGCCTATATCTTAGCCGCTCCAGGCGCAGCATACGGGGACTCGAAGAGGGCAGTCGAAGAAAACAGAACATTTGCCACCTCGAAACTTCTTGGCAACCATATTATCCCCCCTCACATAGAATCTGCGAGCGGCCCGGTTGGAGCGAACAACAAGACCAGCGACACTGAGGACGTTGGATACACAACAAGCGACCCCGATGACGACAGCCAGCATAACCATGGAAAGCCATGGGAGACTGGATACACAATACGCTTTGACGAACCTACCAAGACGAATGAGGGCTTTGTTTTCGGCACTGACTATAAGAATGTAGACTTTGCTTTGCCCTGGCGCAGCCTTGCGTCACGTAAACACTTTGCACTCACTTTCGATGCCGAAAACCATCTCATTGTACGGGATTTGGAATCAACGAACGGCACAAGGCTCATTTATGGCGACCCTAATGCAACGGACGCTAAGGACGTTGATGAGGTCAAAGCTAAACAAATGGAATGGAGTGCCCGTGGCCCAAGTATGACAAACGGTTTCCATCCAATCATTGACATCAGAGAAAAGCTTCGTTTCCAGATCGTTGTACCAAACCATATTCGGGACGCTGAATACTTTCGAAAAGTGGCCGAGTACTGTCAGGGTGCACACTGCGAAGACATTGGGCGACTGGGGATCCAAAACATCCCGGACACAATAAGCGCAACTCCAGTCACTTCGAAGTCGCAGAGGCCGTCGGAGTTGTCCAAGTCTGAAGAACGACCTTTCTGGCGAAAAAAAAATTGGTGAGGGATCTTTTGGCGTCGTATACTATGCGTGGGATGTCAAGACCAGAGACGTCGTCGCCATCAAACAGCCCCGCCAGGGCAAAGTGGTCGACTTGAAGGCCTGGGACAGGGAAGCAAGCGTGATGAGTGGGCTGAAGCATGTAGGTGAAGAATCATGGAAAAACGCTCTGCTGGTGCCAATTCTAACAGCTGAATAGCCGAATATTGTTGAACTACTGCAATACATACCAAGGCCTCCGCAGCTGCTCTTTGAGTATGCACCAGGGCAATCGCTGTCTACATATATCACCCAAAGTACCAGCCTCCACAACAAACAAATTGCGGTGCAACTTATGGATGGCCTTAGGTTCCTACATAACCGGGACGATCCCATTGTGCATCGGGATATCAAACCTGGGAATGTGCTTGTTCAGGAGTGGAACGAGACTAAGGTACATGTCAAGCTTGGAGATTTTGGCTTTGCAAAGGAAGAAGACCAGATGGCGAACTCACGGGTGGGTACGCCAGCATACTGGGCGCCTGAAGTGACGGGTGAAAAAAAAGGTCCCAAATATGACTGTCAAGTTGATATTTGGTCCCTTGGAGCCTTGCTACTGACCATGGAATGCAAAGGTCTACCTTCCAAGAAAGTAAGGGAGTTTGCTAAAATCGAGTCGACGGCTATGCCTCAATGGGCCTATCTTTTGATATGTTTTGGGAAATACTATGGGCAGTCTGTGGATAACAATACCCCCGTACTAGACTTTGCACTCAGGTACATGCTGAAACTGGACCCGGAGGACAGGTTGCGAGCTGAAGACTGTTTCAGGGCTGTCAAAGAGTTACTTGGCCAAAGTACGGACTCGGGAACGGTACCAAGCCCTGGGCAACGCGCCAGCTCTGATGGTGGCACTTTGAGAGAAGCGTCCGTACACGGTGACGGAGAGGCGTTCTCACGAGATCCTGGACACAAATCTCGCGCATCGGGCAAAGTTGTAACGCCGACTCCGGATCCATCGCCCGGAAATGATTGTTGCAGGGCAGCTGCTGGGGCTTTCCCAGTCCAAAATATGTCAACAAAGTCCAAGGACGATGCCGGCGCCATTGCATCGCCACCGAGACGCCACGTCAGCTTGGCAGGCGAGATCGAAAATATACCGGACTCACTTGGCGCAACTCTTAGAATGGCGATGCTGAATGACCTTGCTAAAGCGAACGCCGATGTCTGTAATGGACGTGTTGAAAGACTACGCGAGGTTACAGGGTCCAAACGAGAACGCCCAAAGAACAAGACAACGGCGAGCGATGAATGCCAGCAACGGGGTCAGAACGAGGTCGTCCACTCTACAACAAAGCGCAACCGGTTGAAGTGAAGGAAGGGGGCGGGGGGACAGACCATGCTCTCTGTACCTGTCTGTATTCGATGTTTTGTTTTGCTTTATCAATAATGTTGCTTATTTCATGACCCTCTTTGTCTGCAACTCTCGCTCTTTGTCTGCAACTCTCGCTCTTTGTCAACTCTCGCTCTTTGTCTGCAACTCTCGCTCTTTGTCAACTCTCGCTCTTTGTCTGCAACTCTCGCTCTTTGTCTTGACATTTAGTGCAACTCGGTAACTCTCGCTCTGGCCATGACCGGGCGGCAGGCTACCAAAGGCTGATAATTTGACAGCAGCAATTGACAAGACGCTAAAACAGATTCATTATCGCAGCCTCCTAGGACACAAGTACGACACATATGACAAGGACGACAGGTATGTTCGATGAATATGATGAATATAATAAACACGATAAATGTAATGAATACGTATTTCTGCCTAGAATATGTGGTAGCGGTACTATTACAGGGGCCTGTCCTAATCTAGTTTAGCTTGCTGTCAATTTCTTACCTAGCACTAGCAACCTCTTTCTTACCTACCTCTGGCAAACTACTAGGTACCTAGGTAGGTACTGAATAAAGGTCCCAGTAGGTATGGATCCCGCATTTGCTAATTTGTACTATTATTATTCCTAGTAATTCGTATGCACTTCTGTGTCACCCCTGTACACCTCCCTCCGTATGACAGACTTACATGTTTGCTTTTGTGTTGGAGCGACAACCAGTTGAGATGACTAAGCACGAGGACCTCGATCTGTTTGCGAGATTGGGCCACAACAGCAAAACAAACTCACTGTAACGCGTCACGATTTGGCGCCGTGCTCAAATGTCGCAATTGTTTGAACCTGTGCCCGCCAGGGAGATCATATCTTGGGACGAAGCTCGTCTCATTTCCTTTTTCAATACATATTATGTCCCAGGCAGTCAGGATCGAGACCTCTCTGACCTGATATTGGACGTCGATAAACTTTCAACCCAGGAGCGAGATGAACTTTCGCTCAAGATCACGTGGGTCACAAAATCCGAAACCCTCCAAATTTTCCCCTTATCCAGACCCAGTTACGACTCGAGTCATCAGTAGCTAATTGCATTTTGACGCAAGCGCGGCCCTTAAAAGCCTCCCCGATCGGCCACTTGACCCCGGCGAATTGTTCAAGCGCCTGGAACAAGTACGCGACAGGGGACTCGACAGAGCCGAGTCCCCAAGCGTGGAGACTACTTCTAGTACTCGAACAAGGCCTGCGTCTCCTCCCGAGAACAATACCAGGCTCGAAGGCATCGCCTACCATGACCTTTCTCAAAGGCAGGGCCGTCCTGCATTGCCGTTGGAGTACCTATCGGGCGGCGTCACGGAAGAGCAAAGAACCAGGCAGGCAGTTATATGGGTCGACAGCGACTACCCGCTCATGCGGGACGATGACGTTCCACCCATCTTCTCCTTCCAACTAGAAAACTGGCTCAAGTTTCAACACCAGTGGCAGTGGGATAACCGTGGCAAGGCTGACAGCGGGGAAGGTTATAGGGAGCATCTCGAGTTGCAAATAAAACAGTGCAGTGATAGGGGATTGGAAAGCTGGGCATTGTCAAAAGGTTTCGAACGCGCAACGAGATACGCGTGGGATAGAGATAAGCGGGTGACTGAATGTCGACCGCCAGGAAGCCTCGCCGCCTACGCCGAAGCAGTCAAACGTCGACTCTCAAGTCATGGATTCTTGGAATCGTTTGAGTTCATGGAGGACCCCCGCCAACAAGACATGCGGACAACATGGATAGAATATCTCGCCTATCTTTATAACCGGCAAGATTTTTACGCAAGGCGACTCGCAAAGGCGGAAGGCGGATACCGTGGAGCCTGGGAAACCTTTGAAAAACGGGGGTGGGTCATGATTCTGAAGCACAACGTGTTTCACGCCGACTCAACTGCTATCGGGGCGGAGCCCGCCTTGTTACGGCTTGCGCAAGTGAGTTCCGATTTCGAAGAAAGAATGGCCGCCCTCAAAGAGTTGCTCGCGCGCATAAGACCCTATCGACAGTGGGAGTATCTGCTACGGAGGCAAGAGAAACGGGCTGCGTGGGCGCGCGAGCAGATTGCTGCTATCGAGTCGGAGAAGAGGGAGGCCGAGGCTGAGGCGTCAAGCAAGAAGCAAGATCAAGAGCAAGGTGAGGCAAACGCTGAGGCAACAGGAAAGCATCAACGGCAGGATGAGGCTGAGCCTGAGGTGATGGGCAAAACGCAAGAGCAAGAGCAGAATGACGCCAACGCCGAGGCCATAGGAAAGGAGCAAAAGCAGGACGAGGCTGAGCCTAAGGCGATACACAAACCGCAAAAAGAGGAACAGGACGAGGCTGAGGCAGTGAGCAAGAAGCAAGGGCAAGAGAAGGAGCGAGAGAAGGAGCAAGAGAAGGAGCAAGAAAAGCAGCAAGAGAAGGCTAAGATCAACGCTGAGGCAACAGGAAACAATCAGGAGCCTGGAGCAAGAGGCGAGAAGCGGAAGCAAAAGCAGGATGAGCCCGACGTTCAGGCAACAGGAAAGAGGCAAAAGCGGGATGAGGCCGCGGCTAAGG